ATTTTTCCTGATAGTATTTGTGAATATACTGATTTATCTTTTTCAGTTTTCATTTTGCTCTTATTTTCATTCAATTGATTTTCTAGGACTTTGGACAATAATAGGCGTTTTCTAATTTCTAAATCAGACCTAAAATATATGATAAGTATCGTGTTTTCCGAGTAGCTTTCATTATACCACGCAATGCTGAACAGTTATTCATATCTCAAAAAATCAAGATCCTTGAAAAGGAAAATTCTCTGTTCATCGTCGAGCACCAGCTGTAGCGACAATGGCAATATTTTTATAAAAAAACTTGATGCGCTTGACTTATCCCAAAAACGTAATGATCGATGCTCGAGGTAAATTTTATAAGATAATTGACATTTTTTATCTATGTGTTTATTTTAATTAGGTTGAGTGCACATACTATTGTTCGTTAAGTTTGACCTCTTAGTATTAACATAAATGTTGTATAAATATTGTTGTTACCTAATTTGTTATACTCGTCATACTTATCTTGAAAATGTTAGCAATTACATTTTAAATAAATAGTTACATGAGTATGTAGTATGTAAAATAATTCAATAATAAATAAAGAAAACGTTGACGCTAAAAAATGCGTAGTGTGCTTGTCCGACAATGACAACAAATATTGCGTTACCAGTACTGAGCCATGGTCAATGCGTCGGCAATGGCTCACTACTGAAAATATAACCTTGGCCCATTCTTATCATTTCGTTACCCGGATGACGTTGGACCAGCACTGGCGGCCTGTACCGTCAGTCTTGGTTAACGTTGCTGTGCCAATGATGGGTCGTTTTGACTTTCTTACACGGGTAAGAATCTTAATCTTGATATTGTGAGTCAGTCAAAACAACGCAATGAAATATTGTCTATCAACCTCACAAATTATTTCGGTTAGATTTATTTTGATTGGCTCGATAATAAATGTACTGTTTTGTTTAGATGTTTCAGGCTATACAAATTTTTTCAACATGCCTTGCTGAAAGTAATACGACTTTACCACAGCTCGAAAAACGTGTGCTCAAATTCGCGCTTTCCGAAAGTTGGTCGGCGTAAATCGCGCACGAGACAAGAATCTAATTTCCCACACTATTTAAGTAAAGTACTATTATTGAATAAAAGTTTTTAAAATGTAATAGCTTACTCTGGAAACCGAACAAATTTTTTAAGAATGTCTTTTTCACTAAAATGCGTGAACGTTTAACAAATTTTAACGTTTTCAAAATTTTCTTTGTTATTTGAGAAATCAATTTAGCATGTAATATTGCTTATAATATTGAGACATCAAAAGTTATTACAAAGAAATAGCCTCATTTGTTTGTTTAGCGCCACGCTTGCATGGATATATTTAAAGCGTATCAATTGTATTATTGTTAAATTCCATGCATCATGGATTAATAGTTATTGGATTGAACGAAATCAAAACTAAAACGATAAGTGAATTAACAATCAAGCGATGAATAATACAGGGAATCATATGAATAAGACCACTTTCATTTATACAGTTTATTACGTAGTTTTAATGAAATTACAGATATTATATATATAAAACCTTAAAACATATTTTTACGCATAGTCGAGAACAGATTGATGAGTGCAACATTGATTTCGATTACGCTATTTTGAATAATTTTTAAGCATGGAAATAATTAAAACAAATTTCCTTTTATATTCAAAGTGCATAGCTTACAGGTATAAATCTACGTCGACATCTCATCACATCTACGAACCTTTCCCGTAACCCTTTTATAGAGTTGCATCAGCCTTGAAACAATAAAAATTCACAAAGTCTCGTTTGGCCAAGTAAAGCCAATGCCAATAACATACCTCGGTCACCACTATACGCATTCGACGTGGGCGATAACGAAGTCGAGGAAATTCAGCTTCTGCACGCCATCTTGTCGCGAGCTCACGGCGATTGTAATATCGATCTGTCGGTGAAACGGATAGGTGGCTCTTGTACTTTTAATGATCTGTCAACCGCATTAAATAATTACGATGTAGGACGGCGAATTATATGACTAGTTTTAAATAATTAACTTCATGCTAATATAGTTATATGAAATCGAGCTGTACGTAAATTATTCAATCATTTAATCAAAACTTATTGAATTTTATAGTTAACTTGGTGCCGGTTGATATCAAAATATGGTTCTTGGAAATATCTATATCGTGTCTCCGATAATATGTTCTTTTTGCGAGGTACTCGGCATATCGCTGAACATTCATAAAAAATTATTACTTATTGAAACAAAGTGGGCCTGCCAAGTCGACTGTGAAAAAATCTGGATCGTTTCTTTTCACATGGACCGACTGTTATCCGAGTTTATCCTGGACTTAAGTACCTTTAAAATTGGAAATGTTTGTCTAAAATTGATACGCGACGCGCATTCGCGCACCACGCCTGTGAGTAATAAGTCGCTACTGAATGTTTCTGGTATATATCGCGAGAATTGGTTTGAAGCATAGACGATCAACGTTTACATGGCACTTGAAAATACAAATTTGTTTTTCACAGGACGTAGGAAGGCTTCATATTGGGACGACGCATTGCTTATTGAAAGCCGAGGAGGACACGCTGCAGGACCATTATTCTTACAGCGATTACATTATGCACCGCCGGATCCTCGTCGTGCGAGCGCGCGTCGTTTTTCCATCCACGACTCGGTGGCTTCGGCAACTCGCTTGCAAAATAATTGACGCGAAGCGCGGGCTTCTTCTTCTTTCTTTCTTTAAATAAAACGATCCGCCTCGATTGGGACGTCAAACGCAAACGGTGCTCGATTGAAAATCACGGTGCACAGACGCAAAAATTGCGTGCGAGTACACTTGGCGCGACGACACCGCCATTACGAAGCAAGCTCGACAGAAGACGTACGCCTTGCGATCGGTGCAGCGATGCAATTTTCCCCCGCGCATCAGCCTCAACTTGGAACGAGTCAAGCCAAAGGCAGAACGTGCACCCCCGGGCTGAGTTACAACGAGTGAGCCGATTGTGCGCGTGCGAGGACTCACCGTGCTTTCCGGTCTGATTTCCAGGCGGTTCGCTATCGCTTCTGACGGTGACGGTAGTCTGCACGACTGCGTCAAGCTGATTCTGCATCGTATCGATCGTCCGACCACTGACAATGTTTGCGCGGAGAGCGAGCGAGCGATGCAACATGCAGACGATACTCTCCGCTCATCGGCGGCGAGATGCTGCTGCAAAATTCAGAAGCCGAGAGCTAAATGCGCTTACACTCATCGATATCTTCGAGACGCGCATATCTCGCAGACGCCGCAGAGGCGATCCGTCGGCAGCAGCTTATCCAGAGAAGATTCGGTTTCGAGTGCTTCGATTGTAAAGAATTGAACGATGAATCATGAATTGTCCACGAGTCGACGTCTTCATTCGAATAATTATGCTTTTATCGAAACTGAATGAAATCATGTTTTCATTCAGCGATTTACTTTGAAAGTGGAAATTCTATTTGGACTATCTAAGCTGCAGGTTTACGTAATAAGCTTCCACTTGGACGATGAAATCGTTTTTTTTGCATGCACACCGAATTATTATAATCGACTCCGAGTGCTGCTTCAGTCTCGTCAATTACCCCTTTCGTCAATAAGAAGAAGTCGAATGTTTGCCGTTGCCGTCGTCTATATTTACGATTTTTTTGTTGATAATTTTTTTGTCCAACGATGTTTCGCGCAAGCGCGCTTTAACAAAGCTCGTCGCATTCAGTCCTCGGTAGAGCCTCGCACTCGTGATGCTTTATGCCAAAAGTATATTCGGGTGCTTTGTCTTGTATTTTTGGGAAGTACTTATTTGGTCCGGGCCCAACGCAAGGAGGGTTTATTTTTGATTTGCCGACGATACTGAAGGCCGGCGGACAGGGTTTGACAAGACATGCCGGTCCGGGATCTCTGATGGGAGGGCTGAATTGGCATGGTTGAGACTTCCCCTTCAACCCACTGCATTGAAAAACATATCCGATCTCTTATTTTTATAATGATTTTGTTGAAACGATGCGACATTGATTGATAATGCAATTACAATGGGAAGGAAGGTCCAGGGGGATATTTCGGAGGATCGTACGGCCCGGAACTTGGCGGTGGACAGCGATCTTTTGGTTTCCCTACGATTGTATAGGCTGGTGACCAAAATCCCGGCAACGTGTACGTGGGCCCAGGAGTGCAAGGTTTTCCTGTTTTTCAAAATAATTATAGCCGATCAATGCAAGCGCCTAAGTGATCGTTATCAAGACAGCTTATGAAAAATGTAAAATGTTTCATTTTCAATGAAATTCGCTCAATTCAAAGTGAACTTGCGGTCTTTAAGAACTGCTCGTGGAATGGTGTATCCAGCAATGCCAGGTAGTTGATAATAATATTTGTTAGGTCCAGGCCCAACACAAGGTATCCTTTGACCACGTTTTTCTCGGCCAATCGAATAAGCGGGCTCTCGCCACTTGCTCTGGCAATGATTTTCGTAACCAACTACCGGCTTCAACTCGTACTTTGGCCCAGGACCTACAAATTAACGCCCGCATTGAAAAATCAGATGCTTGAATTCGTGTTGAGTTTTACTGCATATGTAATTACTTTGCGGGCCGCACGATTTTCCACATTTTTTGTGTAATCCTTTTTTTTTATCTTGACCTTCGACGTGCTCAGTTTTTGTTGGAGCCATATATAATTTTTTTTTTATTTAAAAGTCTTTTTTTAATGCTTGAAGAGAAATTTTACACGAAAATTTTGATGGGTTAGCCCAAAATGGACGTCAGACGTAAACAATTAACTCCATGTTTACTATCGAATTTAAAAAAATTGACTATCTAGTGCAACATTACATATTACCGCAGCAGTATATTAATATTTTTAAACAAGAAACAGGAGTAAATACTGGTAGAAAATATCACACTTAAAAATTTAACGAATGTTAGGAAATATTTATAATATTATTATATAAATGCATAGCTACACAGAAAATGTATTTACAAAACTTGAAGTATTTAATCATCGTTTTCCATCAACCCGACATTGACACATTCACTGTATTTGACTCCAATCGAATATTTGGGTTGTTGTCTTTTCACGAGATTTATGTCATAACTGTACTGTGGTCCTGGCACGTTCTTATGATAATCGAATTTGCGCCCAAATTTCATAGAAAAAGCGGGATTCTGCTTTTTATATACATTGAGCTTAATTTCATAAGCTGCTGGACCAGGACCTAGACTTCGTATTTTTTCTTTGCGTTTGAATGCCCTGGAAAATAAAATTTGACTATGAGTTTGTAATATCATCAAATAAATTACAGAATAGCTTTCTAATAAGCTATAAAAAGCTTTTTCTTTTACAAACAATTTTAATTTATGTGACTTCTATATAAATTTAGTATAAAACAGAGTGTGTATGAGATGGAAGTTGCGATTTTTATTATCCAAAATTTAACTTAAATATTAATTCAACTATATAAAATAAGTCTATAGACTTACATAGAATAAGCTCCTTCTGCGCGTATGTCGGGTATCTCTGGGCCGATGCATGTGGGTACCATATAAATTGGTCCAGGACCTTCTTTAATAGGCATTTTACCATTCCTGAATATCATTGAATATGCAGGTGAATTTTTACTGTGATTTGCAAGGGGACACTTTTCTGGTGCATGAGCTCCTGGACCTGGGATTCGAGTTCCAGCTACAAAATAGAACTTAATTTTAAAACACAATTTTGACTAATATGTTTTTTATTTAAAAATAAGTGTGAGATTAGCAGACACTGATATGTCAAAATAAACCTACTTCTTTGTTTAGGCTTGAATTGCATGGTGTAAGCTGGAGGAATTTCAGGTCCATAGCGTGTAAAGTAACCAGGCACTGGGTAAGGTCCTGGACCAGTACTGACTACTTTGGTTTTTGGTTTAATTCTTATTGAGTACGCTGGATATCTGTATCGCGAAGGATCATGATTTTCAAAACCAGTTAAACTTTTCAACTGGTATGTAGGACCAGGACCTATTCAAAATGAAAATCTCACTTTGAAAACCTCAAAAGATTTGGTTATGTTTAGAATAATTTCAAGATATTCGAACATACTTCTATTCATGCAAGCAAGATTTTTTGGTTTACTCTTTGGTTCCTCCATTTTATAATTTTATTAATGATAATAGCTGGGTCTAAACCATTTTAAGATTAAATCGTAAACACTGATCATAATTTTATTGTGACAAGAAGGTATAAAAAAAAGAATGCTATATGCAACAAATTTCATTCATAATAAAAAATGTAAACAACTATAAGTTTTTAAAAAATAGTAACAAAATTTTATTCTCTTAACCGTAGCATTAATCTGAAAGAACATCTGATTTATCATCATCATCAAACTCATCATCACCATCATCATCATCACCATAATCATCTGATTCACTATCTAAATTATCATCGTCTATGTCTTTGTCAATCATCAATGACTTTAATTTGCCTATTAAATTATCACGAGTCCTCACAGAATTACTATCTTCTTTGTCACTATTGTCACTATTGTCCCGCTCTTCATAATTACTATTTTCTTTATTTGTAGGTTTCTTTTTTTTCTTATCACCTGAAAATGAAAAATTGTTAAAATAGCTGAAAAATCAATTTGTTAGGATAACTAAAAAAAGAATAAGTAAATTATATAATCTACGAACTTTCTTTATTCATGTATCTAATAAAAGTTCTTCTTTTTCTTTCTTGTAAAGTCTTCAACATCTGCTGCATTTCAGCATCCAATTGCATTTGCTCTTGTTTAGTTGGTTGTGCCGGTACCAAATCACTGTTGCTTTCACACTTTGGACAGACGTTGCGTTTCTTTGCACAAGGACCACACATTGTGTGATAGGCATATTTAACAGTTTTTTGTTCACACTTATTACACTTTCCAGGGGCTTTGAGTGGCTTGTACTTTTTGTATTTGATTTTCCATTCTATAATCTTCTTACATCTCTCGCACACATTGGCTATATGTAGATTATTGATGGCCTTTGTCTTGTGAGATGTATCGTGTAGATTATTCTTAAATGCAAATTGATTCTTGTATTTTTGTGGCCTTGAGCGTTTCGTGTTTCCCTTTTGCATACTCATTATTATTTATCTAAAAAGAATTTAGTACTGTCAGAACTCATTATATACTAAGCTATGTATCTTACCGTATACCTTTCGTAGGTGATAATAATTGATTATCAAAATATAAAAGAAACTGAAAATTAATAAAAAAAGAATTCAACCATTAATTAAAATCTATCGACAAATAAAGACAAGTACGTTTTCGAGAACGTGTAAATATTTTAGGTTATGTTATTGATACCACGTGATTCATAATTATTGTTTGTTTATGTATTAGCTTTTGGTAAACAGAAGTCTTTTCTGAAACAGATAAATAAAGCATTAAAAATAAAAGTTAGTCAACAATGTGTAAAGAAAATAAAACCATGAAATATTTCTCAACGGTACGCGATAAGTATTCGATTTGACTATAGCAGTTTTCGAATTCAAATTTAAACGCAACATGCTCTTCCTCAAACATTAATTCAATAATTAACCAAACATCTGCCGACGAATGAAACCAATCTGCAAAATAAAAAGAAAAAGTAAAAAAGGACTGCAAATACAGCGCTTCGGCGCATAAGATTATCTCCGGTATCCAGCATCCCCAGCATTGAGGAGAAGGGTACGTCGCGGGGTCATTCCAGGTCGAAAGTTCGCCAGGTCTATACATAGAACTGCGCGGTCCCTTCGTCCTCCCCGGCCCTCCCCTCTCGGTCGACTGACAGGTGAAACGAGATGAAATATTCACGGCGAATTCGCGCGACTGAATGTCAATCTGTCAACCGAGCTCGATCCACTCCCTCTGCCCCCGCCCCCCTCCTTTTTTATGCGCGCGTCTGCGCGTCTTCTGCCGCTTGATTCGATTAGCCGAGAGGGTTGCGCCGGGCTATGGCTGTTCGCGAATTATGAGCGATGCGACCGCGCGCGCGCGCGAGAGTTTATTTTCGCTTATCGCGCGCGCAGAAGTATCATCCACCGTTTCAATTTGCATTAGAGCCGCGCTGCCGGCGGCTAATTGAATAAGACCGCGCCGCGCTCTCTCGCGCAGCCAATTTTTCGCGCTGCTATTCTCGGCACGTCCGATGCTCGTGCGCGAACGCTCGATCGCGAGCGTCCGCGTATTCTCCGCTGATTACTTGGGAATCGAGCCGCTCGTTGCTCGTCGCGTCCTCCTAAACGACAGCTCCGCGGTTCGCCCTGATAAATCGCCCGATCGCTTTGACATTGGCTGCCCCGTTCGAAATCAATGCGACGCCCGCTTTAGCAAAGACCGTTGAATAATCGAAATACAACGGCACGGGTATGAGATTCGGAGTGCGAAATCAAATCGTAGCCGTCATAACTCGACAAATACATTCGTAGCGCGCATGCATATTTATAACGAATTCGATCGGAGTGCGCGAGCTTGGGAGAGGCTTTCAAAGTTTGAGCACCGCGCGGGTATGACCCATATCGATCGAGGTGTCGCCAGCGTAAGTGACTTTCCGTGCTTACGCCGCACGTCCGCGCGCCGGCCAGCCGCGTGCGTGCAGTCGCGTTCGAGCCGCGCGCGAACCGACGCGGGAGCACGCCGCTCGGACCAATTACAGCCGCGGTGGCGGCGTCGTCTCGCAAAAAGACCCCCTAAATAATCCAGCAGCCCTTGCGCCTCGCCTGGCACTTTGCGCGCGAGCTTTTCGTTTTTTGACAGGCGGATCGCGCCGTTTTTACCGCCTACGTCGGCCTCACCGCGGCGCCCGATTCCCGCGCTCGGGCGTTCCCTTATTCATGCCGAGTAGGCGCCGAACTTTCCTGATACCCGTCGAGTTTCGCATCGCTGCTTTCGCGGCTTCTTTTCTCCGGCTCCCGCGGGATCCCGTGGACCCGTGACTGCCTTTCCGACGCGGCTCGCTCGTTAATTAACCGCGATGCCGATTGGCAGGACGCCGTTTAGGAGTATTGCCTGCCGGCGAAAAAAAGTTGGGTTCACGGCCGAAGTTAGCCTGGCAGATAGCATGATCTCGTGGTATCCTTCATTCGTGCACCAATTTTCAGTTGCTGTCAATATCTAAACATTCGCTATTTGCCTAATCAAGTTTGACAATAGTTTTGCTCTCCATTGCAATATTGGCAATCGGCTTTATATTATTAATACATTATCAGATGTGTATAGCGTGATCACTTTGTACGTAATCCTCTTTATACAAGCTTCATGATAAATCAATTTTTTCATTTTTAGGCTGGGAAAATTCTTGAACATTCTTTTTCCGAATCGTTTGTCATTGGCCCATCGCATCTTGTTCCGTCTGTGCCGTTTAAATTTTCGTCGTTGAAATCTGTTGCTTACGATCTGCAAGATCGCGAGAACGATGAGATAGATCTCTTGTCCCCGGCAAAAACGGATCGATACGCGTAATGTATATCCGTTGTCCGGCGAAAGAGATAAAGCGAACGGAATGCCGAGTATAAATATCGCGCGACATCGCCTAAACGAGCTTGTAACGTACAAACCGCGATCGCGATTCGTAGCCGCGGCGACGTGCTCCAAGTTCGAGCGAAAGAAGAGCCGAGTCCAGCGAGGCGAGAAACACAAGCGACACTCGCAGAGTCGCCGAAGACGAGGCGTCGGCGGTTGGCGCGATCCGAAGATTGCTTCTGGGACGAGTTCAATAGCACTCGCGCGTACGAGCTTTCGCGGAACCGCCAGTCGAATCAAACATTGCACGAAACCGTTGGACGTTGCGTCGGGGGGTTGCGGCTTTTCGGACCGCGGCGCGTGGCCGAGAGTATGGCGCGCAACGATCGCCAGGACGTTTCCTGGAATAATTGATCATTAATCGCCGCGCTCACGCCTGGTCGGGCCGTTGCCACGTGCCGAAATGGCCTCGCGCGCCGTTCGCGATAATGGCATTTCGCGTCCGTGAGCACCGGGAAATCGGTGCGATCTCGAGCGCGAGCCAACTCTCATTCGAGTTCCGAGCGGGCATAGCGACGCCATTGACATTCTTTGACAGACGAATAGCGAGCATTCGGAATCGCGGAGATAGGGAGAGAGAGAGAGAGAGAGAGAAAAACACATCGTCTCATTACGTCCGAGTCGTAAAGACTTGCACGATCGTTCGGACGATTCTCAGAGCTCATCTTCGCTCTAGTGCAATCATCGAGCGCTCGCCCTCGAGGTGGCTCGCCTCTCTCGCTCACTCTTCGAGTCCAAAGAAAAAAGGAAAGGACAGTCGGTCGAGCTCGTTTCCTCATCGTTTCCGTTGCAGAGAAACCGTAAAAGTCTGGGGGCAGCTTGGCGATACAATCAAATCTACGTAACAATTCAACACATAAGGTTAATCGCAGTAGTAATAGCGCAATGGCAACAAAAGCTGGTGTACATTCAAACAATTCAGCAAATGGGAATGATACAATAAAGGCACGGCTCTCTCCTCCTCCTCTCCCCGCGACCCCGGTGTCCGCAATTAAGTCGTAAAGGTTATACGAAGGAGTTACGACTGGCTGCGCGAGCGCAGCTCAGCCGGACAGCTTCTCAATCCGAAGCGCATCTCCGCGACTGGATTCGTCGTTATAATTGGCCGATATCATTGTCTCGCGTCCAGATGCAGATACGCAGGGCCATGAAGCGGCGCCAAGGCTGGCCGCTGTCTTCCGCTTATACACGCAGCCGCGAGCGTTGAATTGTTCATCGTGGTGGTCGGGGGCGGCTGGCACGCGAGCGTCGCTGATGGCAACAGGTGATCGCGCGAGAGGGCGCACGAGAGGGCAGCTACGGGCCGAGCCGCCCAGTCGACTTTCTACTCTCTTGTGATTATGATTATTGCCCGAAAGCCAATATCATTTGTCAAGGCTTTCTGAGCAACAATCAAAAACATCAAGAGTATCTCTGCTTTTGTTCCTCCTCCTCCTCCTCCTCCTCCTCCTCGTCTCTTCTCTCCTCCGCCGTTCCCGAACCTCGGCGGGTGCGTCTGAAACGGATAAATTGCAATCATTTAATTTTGAAATCGGAACGCCAGAGAGCATCGTTTGTAACTGTGCGGATCACGTTCGAAGAATGAAGCTTACCTTGATGAGATTTATGTTATTTATGAAATCAAAGCTGAATCAGGGAACAATTATCCGAAACAGTTGGTTCATCGAAGTAGTATCCTGCAAAGTAAAAAACAAAAGTAGCTTGAATTTACTTGTATAAAACCCCAACATTATCATCGCCAACGCCGAACGTAAAAAAAAAAGAGGGGGAGGGGCTTACAATTGAACTCGAGCGAACAAAGTTACAAACGAGCGCGGCACGCAGATGAAAAAAAAAAAAAAAAAACAGGAGGCGAGATAGGCGAGCGCCGGGGTTTTGTAAAGCGACGCAACACGTAGCCGCTCGTGAAAGGGAGGAAACCGAACTCGACGGCGTCGGCGGAGCTTTTTCGCCCGATAACGCGGCGCGGGATTGAAATTTCGCTCGCGGGAATGGAGTCGTTTTGTACGCTTCGTCTGCGGCTTAAAAACTGTACGCCCGTGCTCGCGAGTGATTATCGTGATGCAAGCCTTGTTTTTTTATTTTTTTTTGTCCGCACGGCAAATGCATTCGCATTGACGAAAGAAAAAAAAACATACCATTTTTGATTGTGCTTCTTGCATCGTCGAATCAGAGAAGGAGGAAGAGAGAGAGAGAGAGAGAGAGAGAGAGAGAGAGAGAGAGAGAGAGAGAGAGAGAACACCACGGGGCATAAATTTAATAGTGCAACGAGAGATTACAACGCAAAAGAACTTAAAACTGCGGGCACGCGCAATTAGACCGATTTCAAGCGTTGAATTCTGAGAACACGTCGCAACGAGCAGCTGAAATTGTTACAGCAAAGAGGAAAATATTAGAGATAGTCGTAAAAAAAGGCAGCTTGTTCTAACTGTATTTCGTACATAGCGAATGAAAAGAAAAAAGAAAAAAGAATCGTAACGATCGACAGAGAGAGAGAGGGGGGGGAGGGAGAGCGAGTAACAAAGAAAAGCCGCAATGAAATTAGTTTTGCGCCGGCAAAAAAGTGAAACGGAGGAAATGCCGTCCGTTGGCACTCGAGAGCCGGTATTGGGTCCGCGCCGGCCGACTCGCCGCCGAAGATAGCGCGTATAATCCGTCGAGCAGCAATCGCGCGCGGACAAAGCTCGCTGCTGGCCGAAAGGCTCGCGACGCTCGTTAAAGGGCCCGAAACGAGGCCGATGAACCGCGCCGACAAGACCAACAGGCATCCCCGTGAGAGT